TTGAGCGATGGCGAATTATGAGTTAACTGACAATTTTGCCACAAGAAATTTCGTGCTGTGCTGCAGCTGCCACCATGCATTTGCTAGAAATCTTTATGAAAACAAAGTGAAACCTCGAAAGCATGAGATTTAGTTATCTGAGACAAGCAAGATCCAGTGATTTCTTCTAGAAAGCAAACTGTCATTGAAATTCACTCTCAAATAGAAAATAAAAGACAGGAAAAGAATGACATTATGAAACAGGGAAGAAAACAGGAAATTTAAAAAACAATCTTACAAAGACGAAACAATTTGTTAGTAAGAACATTTAAGTAAGGAATATGCGTATTTAATATCTAAAGCAGAAAATAAATATCAATTGAAAGCTTCAAAAAGAAAAAAAAAACAACAGAACCAGAAACACTTTAAAGTAATATACTAGTAAAAATGTACATTTTACGACACAAGGACTCAGTGGAGGCACTTCAATTTTAAAAAACAATATCAAACTGAATAAACACATAATAACCGTCAGCAGAACAAGTACTCCTTAGGAGTTACAAAAAATTCGTAATTTTGTTAACGAAAGAGACTAGTGCACCAAGTTTTGTAACATGGCAACAGACTTTGCGTAGCAAACTGTTAGTCAAGCAGCAGTGCCTATCGAGATCAAAACGTAGGCCTGAAACTGAAAGACAACTAGTGTTCAATACCAGAGTCTAAATCGCTGATTAAGAGCCAAAATAAACAAATCTTGAAGAAACCATAATTCCCCGTCTGGAACAACTACTATACAGTTCAAACTTCTACACAAACAAATTTTTCATGTTATAAACATGCTCAAGAACTACACAGGAGGAGTGCCTGAGCTCAGAAATTCCATAAAGTCGTTTTATTATATGACCAGAAATCTCGTAGAATATACCTAAGATAATCTATAAACCCCACCGCACTTAATGTTTGAAGAAGCGTTTTCAAACGTCCAAAAACTAAAGAAGAAGAAATGAAACAGAGAAAAAGAACAAGCTGTCATTCAATCAAGAATGAAACTTATACATAAGGCAGGCTTCGACACCAGAGCTAGGTCAACAGCCTGTAAGAGAAGGCAGATCTTCTTTAAAAAGGCGTAGAATTCGTATGTTCAGCAGCGCAAGAAGCCGCGTTATCTAAAACCAAGCCCGCAACAATTGTACTGTATGACCTATCGGAACAGACTATGCGGTTTGAGAATTGCAAAAAAATACGCAGACAACAAGGAACGAAAAAATCAAACCACACGTCTTTAAAAAAGTATGACGTTGAAGAGCCGCATGCCACCATACAATTTAATAAGTGTTCTCAAAAGGCAAAGATATGAAAGAGTAATTGTACATATTGCACAGGAACATATTCCATTATTGTCGGATGAGTGAAAATGAATGAATTAGGAAGATCAGTAATTATAAGTCAGACGCTAAATGTTGATGAATCGTTATTGTTAGATCTCGGTGACCATGAAGAAGGGTCCTTTCGAATGTTTTGAACAAGTGGCTTACTATTTCCACCAGCGAACCGCTTTAAGTCATCAACTGCGGCCTTAACTCGGTAGCTGATACTTGTCGAGAACTAATGAAGTAAAAAACAATATTGGAAAAAAAACTTACTTGGAACTGCGCTAAAGACAAATTGCTGACGCCAAGTTGCTTAAGATCTGATGAATGCAACCTCAACAACTCTTTTCCATCAATTTTGTTCAAGCGAAACGAATTGGCATATTTCTTGAAACCAACGGAATCCATCCACGCACATACTTCATCAACGTTCCAGTTAGTGATAGAAACTAAATAAAAGTCTTAATATTAATTACTACAGACAGCCAATCCTTTTGTACCATATATTCGGGATTTACCTGCATCAGCTGATGCAGCTCTTCTTCGCCGTCGGCCCCATTTGCTCCAAAACCAATGAGCTACACGAGATCTGACTCGTGGTTTTCCCCGACTCTCCTCATTCCGCACACCTTCCCCAGCATCATCAGTATTTGAACCCGGCAAATCATCCTTTAAAAGCTGTGTAAATTTAAGGAAATAGTATAACAGTGATAACCATGCTTATAGAAACAGTTTTAGACATTAAGATATTATAAAAGAAAACCTCCACGGAATATTCAGTGCCATTCATCCAACGTTCCAAGTTCTCAAGATCCTCCTTGACCGACACTGTAGCTTCTCGTAATTTTCTTAGCCACTCCCGTTTATCTTCATCATTAATCTAAAGAATAATGTGACCTCAGTTATCAGAGTTGGAAAAATTAAAACCAAACAATAACAGGAAAAATGCTTTTAACGAACAGAGACCAAAGCTAATGCCAGCTTCGGTTGAATTTCATGAATTAGGACACGAATGGTGCGAGCCACCTGGACGACTCGTTCATCACTGGCTTCATTCTGAAAAAACCTAATTATTTGAAGCCAAAAACATTAAAAAATTAGAAGCTACAAAAATTATAATTTCCTTCGTAAGCGATAAGCCTTGCAAAGAAACTGTAACGTTTATTTAAAAAAAAACTAAACTAAAAATTTTGCTCTTGCTTTCTATAACTACTTCAAAATAAATCTTACACAGTATGATCCTAAAGCTGCGCTGATGGCAGAACTTGCGTCATCAAAATCCCGTTTAAAAAGACTATCAGAAAAAAGTGAATGTACTTGATTTTGGCTCTGAAAAGTATCTATCTTAAAAGATCAAGAACAGATATATTAGATAACAAAAAAAAGTTATTATTACAAAGGTTTCCATTCCAACTTGATGTAAGCGACGAATACAAGAACAAAAAGCCAAGTAAAAACTAACTGGGTCAAGAAGATCAGTTAACCTTGCAGCAGCCTCCACAAATAAAGAAGGAACATCCAATGAAGGAAATACTGGATGCACGACAGCAGTCGGAGTAGTTGGTAAAACTTTATTTTGCTCCTGCCAAGTCTTTAAAGTTGCTTCAAATACCTAGAAATCCTTTAAAAGTCACAAATGCTAAAGGAACATACTTTTTAGAAAAGTAAGAAGTAGTTATTATAAAAAGCTAAGGAACTTACTGGATCGTGAACCAGCATCTGAGCTCTATTTTTGTAAACAATCTCTATTACGCCTGGAGGTTGCAGCCATGGTTCGCCATCAACTTGGACTGGTATAGGTTCACTACCAGATACTACTATGTTGACATGCCGACACTAGAATTCTCAGGGACATTAGAATTCTAAAGTAAACTCAGAAGAAGGAAATATTTTCATAACTAAAAGACCATCTAAAAAAAACAGTAACAAAAGTTTTATAAAATACCAGAATAGTTTAAAGATGCAATTCCCGATAAAACAACCTGGGCTATACGGTGTTTTTGAAGAGGAAGCCGTGGCACTCGACTTGTAGCCACGTGAATAACACCAAACAACGCTACAACTTCTAGCATTCTATCATCAAAAGACTGCGCAGCAAAACTACAATCTCCACTTTCTTTCCTTGAGCCCCAAAAATTTGCCCCGCCAGAGTAACTGAAATTTTCGTATGCTAAGCCAAAAAAGCAACTCCTCAGGTATATCTTCTACATCTAATATATAGAAAAACCAATAAAGCGGTCTGTAGAAAATATAAAGTTCTTTACCTTGGAATATTTAAAATAACTACTCCTTGCAAAGGTGGAAGCCTCATAACTTGTCCATCACACTCTAATCTTATTCTCTGGTCAAGATTTCTGAACGTTCTGAGCAATAACTCTTTTCCACCTAACATACCATACCACATAAACAGTTTAGACCGACTCCTTAAATATACGGTTGTATCAGTGATCTTGACTCCAACGATAAAAACCGTTTTTGCAAAGCGAATAACCTTAAACATTTACCGTGCCTTCTCCGGTAACTCTTCACGTTTGTTATGGAATTCAAGAGCGATTTTAGCATCCAGTCCTATTCCAAAATAATTATTCATAACCTTTTTTTCTACGAAAACTGTTCTAAAAAAAGCAAGATATGAGTAAACTCCTACTTAAGAAGCACTATTACTCTAAAAAATTTTCAGAAATAGTTGAAAATTGTTAAACATACTTCTTACTAGACAACAACAATGGTTCCTTATCAGAAGAACTAAAAGTTAAATTAGTTCTGGGAACAGAATATTTCGACGTATGGCTCCAGTGACAAATTGAGCTATCAGACTTGCTTTTCATCTTCTCATACATTTTTACTTTCAAAGCATTGGAGCCTAAATGTCCTCATTCATTACCTAATTGATTATGCAAAGAAAAAGCAAAAAAATAAAAAGAGTGAAGCAGCAATTAAGAAAATTTCAATCTTAGAATTCAAAACATCAAGAACTAATTGCACTTTTTACAAAAATTAGATCTGCCAGAAACAAACCAAAAGCAAAGTGGCCGTCATTACCAGTGGCAGAACATGGAGTCTGTGAGTCGGACAGACAACCTGTAATACCAATGCATTTGACAGGATCAACCGAGTCAGATAAAGAGCGAGGAATATTCAGAACCCGGAATTCTGGAGTTAGAAAGTCATCATTTTCTTCTACCGAAGATTCTGCCTCTGACCACTTCACAGGTATAGTCTGAGGAAATTCGAATGAATTTTGAGAACGATTTGGCGTCGGAGGCTCTACATCCCCAATGCTGATAAAAAAGAAATGGTTAAAAAAAATTTCTTTATGAAAAGTAAAATCACTATCATTTCTGTTGATAAGACTGTAATGATACAGAATGAAAAGTTATGAAAATTTGAAGTGCAGCAAGACCCTTAAACAAGAACATCCACTTCAGTGAAATAACAAAATTAGATAAACCTCGGCAGTTCAAGTTTTGCTGGGATAGATGTGTTAGAGCTTTTACGAGCTGGAGGAGACAACAAAAGAGTTGGAACTGTCGGAGACGTTGTGCTGGGTGGAGACGAACACAGAGAATAGATATCGCGCAAAGAAATGATTCCCGGAAATGCTGTAAAGGGTATCTGTGTTTGAAGTGATAAAAGCGAACCGCCTCCTGCATCTCTACCGCACAAAACAGACATCTTCGCATCACCTGGTGCTGTTTTGCTCCTCTTCTTCCGGAAATGTTCTCTCTTCAAAAGAACTGTGCCTCTAAAATAGTTCACTTTCTTTAGCTTTAAAATAATTATTTGTTTGTTAACATTCAATATGAACCTTAATTGCTGAAATAAAAGTGAAAAAAAGATACGAGTGAAAATTAAAAGAATAACCTGTTTTCTTTCTTCATTTTCATTGCAAGAGCCTTTGCATGTTCCGTAAGTTGTCGCACAGCTTTTTTCAATGAGTTTTCACGTTTTAGAAGAAAATCTTTTTGTGACTTTGCCTAAAGACCAAGAGACTTTAGAAATTTTACTGAAGGCGCCTCTCAAGCATGATAATTAACCTTCGAGACAGAAGAAAAACCAGAGTCTACACTTGACAGTTCGTTGGTTAATTCACGATTCCCAGCAAAGGTAGGTGGTGTTTCCAATGAACGCAGCACGCTCTCCAGTTTCGAAATTTCCGCCTCGTCCTACAACAGTGACAAATATAATAATTCGACACGCCTGAACTATTAAAACCTATGAGTATCCTAAAAGTAATTAAACTTTTCGCCATAGCAGCACCAACAATACTTAAAGCGGTCAACAATTAACTAGCGAATAAAACGTCAGTTTTCTAAGACCCTTTTGAGGTACTACACTATACCAAAAAAATAATTTAACAAACCACTATATGATCATATAGTATATAAAGCAAGCTAATAAAATCCCTCGTTTAAAAGAAATACACATTACCTGAACGAGAACATCATCGTCATTATTCATTTTGGTATCATTACGGTCGTTTATAAACAAAATCTGCTTTACCAAAGCAATAAAATCCTTGACCGTCTCATTGAGAATTCTATAAATAGAAGTTAAAGTGAAAAACGGAAAAAACTTGAAGTATCCGTCTTAAAAGCAAAATAAAAAACTAGTTTCAAATGAGCTGTGAAGCAATTATGAAAAAAGGTTAAAACACCTCATCTCTTTGCTAAATCACAAATAAATGAAAACACTCTCAAAAAATTTTAAACCGTAAAAAATACCTTGTAGCACAGGAAATTGCAGACTCATCCTCGGTGCCTTCTATGTCGTCAAGTAACTCACTAATGCAAGACTCGTGCTTCTCAAAATCCAACACAGATGCTCTCTTTAAAGTTGCGTAACAAGTATTGGAAGAACTCGTCATGACACTCCATCTTTAAAAGCAAGGAGAATAAATGCACAAATCAAAAATGGTATATTACCAAAAAAGAATAATAATACTGAATAACAATAATAATGACTAAGAGAATCAAAAGTCATAAAAGCGTTTTTATAGACTCAAGCCATGGTACAATGTCTCAAAAACGAATTTCCGGGAAGATTTGTTGCCTTTTAGTCAATTTTGTTGTCCTTCTTATGTATTGCCTTTCAACAAAAAATTCAAAAAAATGAGCACTAATTACGACCATACGCTGCTGCAAAGCCAGAAAAAGAACTAATTTTTTCCTGAAATAAGCAAAAAAGCCATTGCTGTACAAACCGTTATAACTAATTCAACTTTTCGTGCAGCTTCTTTTTACAATACTTATCCAAAAACAGGTTTTAGCATTATTCCCATTATTTTATCATTACCAATAACGCATAAAGCTCTCGAAAGATTAGTGACCTATCGCTTCTTAAATAAATGAAGAAGCCAAAAAGAGCAGAAACTGTTCACTGATAGTATCATCAGCTACAAAACAGACTGTTAGAAAACTGGTAAAAGAAATCCAAAAAAAAAATTTCCACTTGCCTATCCAGCATTCTCGTGTGCGCTCGTTCAAACTTTTCTATCACGTGAAGAAGCTGGGACTCGTCGTCAAACGCCCGTCCCCAACCCAGCACCCGCGCCAAATCATTTCCCGTCCCCAGAGGTAATACACCTATTTGACACTGAAATTAATGTATCTAACATTTTAAAAGAAATATACGAGCAGTTGTCTCAGCTAAAAGTAAACGCACACTCATAAGAAGGAAATCTCAATGAAACATGAAATACAAGAGAACCTTTGAGAGTAATTCAAGCGAATCAACCGCCGTTAAAACCCACCCAACAGTACCATCACCTCCACAAACTAGAACGCGAAACGAATCAAATCGCCGAAAAAATTTCAACCTAGAAATTTAAGCTATATTAGCCCAAAACATTTAGAGTATAAAAACCGCTTTCACGGCATAAAAACTCTCCAAAGAGCAATTCCTTGCCAATACGGTAGAGAAAGTACCCTATTTCAGGTCCATCAGCAATAATATCAACAACTTGAGAAGGATTTAACAGCCTTTTAAACTTTGATAAAATGCGCATTCCTTGATTTTCGCCTGACTTAGAGTTCACAAGAACAAGAATAGGGGATCCTCCGCCGTGGTCACCACCAATACACTCTGGATGTACATCAGCCTCCCCAACTTCACTGACATCTTTAACAGCAACAGGTGGTAGAATTGATAAACTAAACGAAAGTTCAACGATCAAGTGCAGGAAAGAACAATTGGAAGAAACCGATTAAAAGACTTTTACTGGAATCAACATCCCCTTCAGGTATAATAATGTGTACTGAGTAATGCCAGCACAAAATTAGATAGTGTTACAAAGCAGACATTAGGTTTTAAGTCGAAGGACCAGGCTAATAAGTACGTAACACACGTCAATGTTTATACTACCCATGAATGTAAACAAAAGGTAAAATCTGGTTCAAGTTAGACGCTACAAGTAAATTTTCTCACTAAGAATTAACAAAATCTAGAAACTTGAACCGTATCAACAGCCAACTTTCTGAACATTACCACTAGAAACCGAAACAGTCAAAATAATGTATTATAAATTTAGTTTAAAAAATATCGTTTATAAAAAGATTAATCTTTCCAAAAGTAAACAAACCTAATCGCTCCTAATGTACAAATTTTAGACACACTAGACTTGCATTGATCATGAACAAACGTTCCGCACCAAATACAACGCCAATCCTATAAAGTAACACACTATATAAGGTGAAACAATTGAACATGGTCATTGAACGTCAAGAGCGAATTTCAAAAAAAATTGAAAATCTCTTACTCAGTGAAATAAGCTAAATATCCAACATTAATTATGCTAAAATATGAGTTCTTAATAATAATGAAGCTGAGATTTAGAAACTTTTTGCAGACATAAACCTATACTAATTAGGCAAAAATTTTGTAACAAAAAGCTAACACTATGAATTCTAAAGCTTTATACTGTGGAATACGTAACAAAGCAAATTTTTTAAATCGAATGCAGCCAAATGACAAAGCACTACCATTATGCGGGAAAGTTGGGAATTTAAGAATCAGGACAATAACTATGAAAAGACCTGTAATTTAAGAACAGATCCACAAGTCTTATCACACACAAAACATTTACAACCTAGAGGCAGATTTCCTTCAATCCATTGGTGGGGCATATGATGAAGCTGAAAATAACATTTGCAAACTTATTTAAACCGGTAGTTTCCAACATACAACAAGGTACTATAAAAAACAGTTTTTGGTCGGTTCAGTAATAGGCAAACAGAAATGTAATTTAAAAAAGATAGTCAGAAATATTGATTCGTTTTCTACTAGAAAGGCACTTCAGGGTACCCACTAATTCTCCTTTTTAGCCTCCCTCTCTCCTGTCTTACATTCCAAAAAGAAAAAAACGCACTGAAAAAAAAATCCAAAAACAAAACTGCAAATAAAAAATACATTTTGTAAACAAAGAAGGTACAACGAAACATTTAAACCCCGAAAATCGCCATGAAATCCAATTAAAAATTACATCCAACTAATCCATCAAAAGCTCATGTAATCAGCATAATCTTTTTCCATTATTTTAAGACTTACTCCACTAGCGTCAACAATTTTTAATTCGGGTGGGATCGATGACTCATACCTCCATTTACAGGACTTTCCAATTTTCGAAGCACATCTTTTGTGGGCTCGCATCCTACATACTAAAAATTTTCCAGTTATTTAAACTTCTAGTAACAACCTTTGAAGCAGTATGAAGATGTACTGAGATTAAGACTCAGACGGTCATCAACCATAGGATAACATGAAAAACTCATAAAACTATACTCTTTGTTCAAAATACAAAAAACATCCATACTTTCGCAAGACAATCCATGCCAGGCTACTCCTGAAAGTTTTTCCCTGCAAAAATTACAATGCGTAGGGCGGGCATGTGAACAGACATACCAAACATGCGTTTCCTTCACCAAATTATTTGAGCCTTCTGATATTACCTTAAAAAAAAGATGTTCAGCTTCTAGTAAAATAAAATATAAAATTCGATAATCTTCTGTAAGAAGAAATTTGAAATAAAAGAGCAATAATTTTTAGAAACAAGACATTTAAATAAATGAAAGAAAGATTAGTCTTCAGACCTCTGTCAAGCAGCAGTTTTCTCTGGAATAGCCGGCTTTTATATCTACCGCTTCCATTGGAAGATAAAAGCCTAAAAAAAGAATATAATTACGAAGTGACTGAATGTACTTTAGAAAGAAGAAAAAACAGCTTATTACAGAGAGAAATTTTTTGCTGAAGAAAAAAACATTTAATTTGGAATCTTAATTCAAGATAAGACATCCTACCTAAGCTTCAAAAAAAGAAAAAAAAAAAAGCCATGTGAAAAAATATACATACAAACAAATTTTCTTCTGTACAAAAACTTTCACTTTTTTCTCAGTGAACAAAGCAAAACAAACAAAAAAATAGAGGAAAAAAGATAAACGTTTCCTTCTAATTCATTTTTTTTTTGATCTTTTTTTTTTCATCTACTTATCTATACACACAAAAACACATACATACATACACGCACACATAAATAGATGTTCTGTGAACAAGTAGCAAACAAAAAGACCCAAAGAAAGACCACTTCAGCGGTTGTTCATCATTAAAAAATTATTGAATTATAATAAAGAAAATAGCTGCCTGAACACGCACTCTAATGTAAGAGCATCCAGAATCAAGAAAAAAAAAAATAAAGTGGGGAAAAAAATGAAATAAAATAAAAGACTAAGTTAAGCGAAAAAGAATGCAAAAAAAAAGCATAAAACAAACCAATTTAATTGCATGAAAAGGGAGGAAGACAGTTTGAAAAAAACAAGCTATCTTACAGCAACAGCAGCGGCAGCAGTAGCAGCAGCAACAACAGCTCCGGCAGTCACATTAGCAAGGCAGGCGGATGTGCATCGCGCATATCATATATACTATTGCTCTTCTTATTAATTCCACTTCTCAACAACGGCCTGCTGGCGCTTTACCAATGATTCGTTTCAAACCTGAGGCCGTCTTTTGCAGCCCACAACCAGCTTACAATCAGCCGTTAAATACCAGTATGCAATTGGAGCATCTAATCTGCTCGGGTACCGCCACAGTTAAGACTGCCGTTGCAGATAGGTGTCCAGTTACCAGCCGACTGTCACCAGATTGTTTTTTCTTTCAGTAATCTCTTTATCTTGATACTTTGGCTACCATATCATTTCCGTTCTGTTCGACTCAAATATA